TAGGTGAGGTTTCTACTTAATCGTGTTTGAAATGACTTATCATATTTGTATTGATTTTAAAATTTCTTATTATATTCAAAATCTTATTTGACCTGGTTTTGTTTGTGACTTACCTCTTGAAAAACCTTCTAAGGGCTTATATCAAGCAAAATATGCTCTATTAGTCCTCAATCCTTTTCTCCTAAGTCCTACCAGAGTCTCTCTTCTTCCTCGTAGGACCTGTCTCTTATCACCCTGGTTCAAGAATTTTACTAGACCATTATCATATCTGTGCTACTCGGGTCGTTATTTCACTGCCTCAAGCCCTTGATAACACTTATACTTTCGCCTTGCAGATCAGCCCCCCAAACTCTGGATTCTCAAGCTGGATGGGAAACTAGCCTGAGGGTATAGATCGAATTATCGCTGCTTTACACATGCACCGCGTAAATCTCGTGGCCGAGCCTTTACTTCACGGACCACGTCTATTGTCAGCCAACTATCTCTAGCCTACATCGTATCTATCGTGCTTCTACATATACTTCCAAGTCTATGACTTCCTATATCCTAGTATCTTGTATGTTAACCCTCACATATGGTTCTACTTGTTTTGATTAGGCTCATTGTAGACGTCTCTCTATTTCCGATTTTTCTCTTGTGACCGCTTCACGAATTTGCTTTCTTGTGTCCAAAACTTTTCCTTAATATGGTCGTCTTTTCTTGCTGATCTTGTTGTTGCCTGATTTCCTCGGAGTTTGCTTAGATGGTATGCAAAGTTTTCACTAATCCTGCCTTTTTCAAGTCTCTCCATTGGATTTCTTTAATTCTAGATCTAACCCTATCCATGTTTCTACAGAGTCTTTGACGTTTCCTAATTCATATGTTTATTTTTCTTCCTGTTTCACCCATATGCTTGTGCTCACAGTTGCCGCATTTGATGAGATAAATCCCAAGCAATCCTGTTTCTCAACCTTGTATTGCGTCAGCAGACGGGTGAGTATGTTGCCTTTTCCTTTGTTATCACCTTGATATTCCATTTCCTCAGTAACGGTCGCGGTTTTGGACTCAGTTCACAGGAGGTTAGGAATATATGCTTTTGGTCATCCTTCCGATTCCTGATCTTATTTTTATGAAATTCAAGTTGAAATCTGCTTTTTATGACCACTATATTTATTTCTATAACTTTACTTGGGCATCAGTTACTAACGAAAACCCGAGTAAGCTTGTTCAACTCTTCGACCCAGAGCTCCATGTCCATTAGTCCTAAGCTTCTGATGATCAACTTACTTAATATTCCGATCTTCAGTCTATAGTTGTGATGAGGCTGGAAATTGAGGATTATTCCCGCATGCGATTTCTTTCAGAAAAGTCTCTTAAGTTTTCCGTTAGGGCAAATGACCTCAACATCCAGGAAGGATAGTTGCTCATTATCCTCTGCCTCCATTGTGAATTTAATTAGTTCTCCAATTTGGTTGGTAAAGTTAAGGAATTCATCTAAGCTTTTCTTACCATGCGACCAAAGTGCAAAGTAGTCATCCAGGTATTGCATAAGCACTGTTGTGGCTTTGGCTTGTTGAATTCCCTTCCAAATTTGACGATACGACCTTAACTGAATCCATGTAATTGATAGCATTCAGATCAGAATTAGTAGATGAAATGCTTCTTTACTTGCCTAAAACCTTGTGGCTTCGTCTATATGCAGCTACACACAGAACGTGCCCGTTTCCTGTGGTGCTTCCTCACTGTGTTTTGACATTTTAAATCATCTTGGCGAATTAGTATCGAGGCTCTCGCTTCATTTTTAGAATCTCCATACATTCATTCTCCATATTAATAACAATTATAGGCTAATTTGCATCCCGTATAAATTAATCTTGTCTCTATTTATTCCTTTACTCATTTTTTATTGCCAGTATTGATGCTTTGGTGCATTCTGACATGATAAGAGCGCAGCAGACGGCCGCAGCAATTTTGGCTGAACTTAATGATTCAATACACTCGGAACTCTATGCCTCTAAAAAATCGGGAGAAACAGGTGGATGTCTTCAGTATCTTTATCGAGCAGCTCCAGACACTATTGTAGCAAGTTCAAAATCGCATTCCTTGGTTAGTCTTATTCCTTCCTAGAGAGTTTCATTTAAAAAATCGTCCTGTTTGTAACAGCCCTTTTGTTAAGCTTCTTTACTAGTTCTGCCCATTCGCAGACTAAATTCAGAATTCATAGAGTAAACCAACGCTCATTTCTTTAGTTTTATATTTTTCTAAAGGGCTGCAAATAATTCCTTAGATCACGCATTTTTAAAATATTTTTATGAGCTTTAAAGTTAATCTAGCTTTTCGGCTAGCCTCCCATTTACAACTCTGATATCTAATTTAAATGATAGCAACTGCTTATTTGCATTTGGTGTTCCTCGTTGATTGTACGCCTTCATTTCCTTCCTAAGTTTTGAAAACTAAATACGAAATGAAGGTCCCTCTAACAATGTTATCTCAGGAGATTCATCGAAACCCAGTTTTCCTTCGTATCTACATAATATTACTCTTCCAGTGATAATCAGGATCATTACTTCTTAGAAAATCATGGCTTATTATTTTTCAGCTAATCTATGTTTACCTTTACATTAAACCAATGGATACTTAACTTTATGTAGCAAAAAGGTAGATACGAAGAGCAAGATGTTGTCGACTCTAATTAGGCAGCAGACTCCTTTCGATGTATAGTAGATATGAAGAGAAACTGGGTTTCGATGAATCTCTTGAGATAACATTGTTAGGGGGACTCATTTCGTATAAAAATGAATGAAGAAGAGATTCATTGATCGATCTCACCAGATTCGGACAGATGAATCTCGCTGTACTGCAGCCGTTTGGCTTTTATACGATATTCATTTTGACGCAGTCCACAAGACTTCCTCGTTTTATGTAAAAACGTGCTGACCTATCGTCCATCATATGATGGACATCCTCAGAGCTGGGTATCATTCTTGTAGTCCCACGTTAA